ATTAAAATGAATATCAGATGCGTTTTGGAAGGAATCCTTTTAAAAGACTCTCGAAAACTTACGGATCATCCGGAGTCAACGTTGGTGCTTCATCGGTGAAAGTCGTATCAAAATGTTGCAAATCACGATCATTTTCTATCGAAGGGTTGTACGGTGGAGCAACTTGACGTGCCTCCAGCTGTAACGAATCAGATTTCTTTCAGAGGCATTCATACTGATTACACTCCGAATAAAATCAGTGGATTTCATGAGAATGGAATCAAATTTCCAGATCAAACGAATTCAGAGATCAAAAATTCAGGTTTGAGATGGANATTAAAAATGCTCACCGATTCCCAATCGATACTATTGCGGAAAAATGTGTGCGCCTTCATTTCATCGAGTGCCTCATAGATATCTTCATTACAACCTAACCGTTCACTTGGATCCTTAAAATTGTTTCCTTCTTTCTGAGAAATGAAAAAAGTGCATTCAGAATTACCGTATCTTATTATCAAAGCAACATTCCATATTAACTTCAAAACAATTAATGAAGCGAGTGAATTACTTATAATATTAATGAATTAATGTTATAGCTGAATGGAATCCATCCGTAACAGCTCAATGCAATCTGTAATAGAGCTCTTCTTCAATCACTAACTCTAAACACCGCTTAAGGCAAGGTTCCTAGCCAATGGGAACGATTACAAGGGGAAAGGGAACAATATGAACTAATTCATTTATTCCTGAATCCGATATAATGAAGAGACTAACACCTAAACCAGTGGCTTCCAACCAATTTTGGCCAATAGTCTACCTCACGATCAGATAAAATCACGGGGAAATCGCACCCTGTCCTCTCAATCGCGATAATATTCAATTCAGTCGTTCTTTCAAGTCTTGCGCAAATAATTTCTATGGTATTGTTAACAAGTTCTACACGGATTTCGCCTATTGGCATTCGATGTTGCCCACATTGACGAGAAGTATTCATCTAAACGACGATTCACCTTATTCAGGAAGCCTTTCAATATGGTGGCGGCCTTCACTGATAAAGATCTTGGTATACGGATTTGTTTTTCGAGGATAATTTGGAAGAGGTAATCCTCAGTGTTCTGCTCGGCATCTCCAGCCATACCGACCACGTCAAACGGCGATCTACCGGCCATCATTTCATACATCAACACACCAAGTGCCCACCAATCCACACTGAATCCTGAAACACAAAAACACAAACTCCTTACCAAAATTTATCTGATGCTATCAAACATACACTCTCAAATCAAAAATATCATATTGAACAGTAAAAACCATACCGTAGTCTTCCCCTCTTAAAATCTCTGGGGCAATATAGTTGGGTGTACCACAAAATGTACTAGTCACATCACCAGGTCCTATATTTTCCTGAAAATTTAACATTTACAACATTGTAAAAGAGTATGACAATGAATATTCACATTAACATGTAATAATAGTGAGAATAAAATGGTATTCATAAGAAATAACAACAAC